ATAAAACGTAGTTTTTAAGAGTTTTTGTCAAATGCTTTATAATATAGTATAGATTATTTTTTTTAATTTAATTTAAGTTTAATAATGAAATAATTTATTTTTGGTTTAATAATATATCATTTTATAAAGATAATAATTAAGTATTTTGTTAGAACTCAATGATTATCCTAATTATATTTTAGATTTTTTATATTTAAAATGAGATGTTTATTCTGTATTTGATTGTGTTTATCTGCAGTTAGTTACACGAATTCAGTTATAGGATGAAATCGGATAGGGATGAACGAGTTTAAGAGTTTTAAGAGTTTAAGAGTTTTTAAGATTTTTAGCCAAATGCTTTATAATATAGTATAGATATATATAGTATAGATATTATTAATAGATATATTTTATATTATTAACCCCCCTTAATATCACCTTGGAAAAATGAATCCTATTTGGTGCATTCACCGTCCAGGAACGATGTAGGTCTCGATGGATCTGCTGGATTTTGTCAAAAGCAAAAGCCTCTAAGATTGGAGAGATTTTTTCAACCGAATCTTCCGGATGTTGAAGCACCACAACATTTTTCAGAAACCAGAGTTTGATTATGAGTGAAGCTCGTTTCGTTCATATCTATGGTGGACTCATCAACGTTGACAGAGTTTGAGATCGATTCATAAATTTGAAACGCCATCATCCCCATCCCTCCCACTACCATCCCTACCGCAAGCAAACTTTCCCATTTTTTCATCATCATGGATTTTTTTTTCATGATCATAGTGCTAAAAGAAACATAAATCTAGGAAAGATCGAAGCTAAAACCAAAGTATTGTCGTTCATCAATCTGCACATTCTTGTCGATGTGTTTTACTGTTTGTTCTCCAAGTTTTTTGATTTGGAATTAGGTATTTGGTTAGATTTAAGATCTTTGATTCATATGAGGTTTGTGGTTTTGATTTTCTTGAAGTTTATGGTGTTAATTCTTGATGTTAATTTTTATGTTAGGTTTGAGTTTGATTTTGATTTCGGTTGGTTTGAGTTTGGTTTGATTGCACAAAGAATTCGAGAGAGTCTTTGATAATTATGTAAAGATGCGAATTTTGTATGTTTTAGCTAAGGATTAAGCAATGGTTATTCATATTACAAAGAGACTTGAGTATGACTTTTTTTTCCTGTTTAGCTAAATCAACAAGTTTCGGAGTGGTGAGAGTATGAACTTTGTGGGATCTGTTCATAAATCTTCACTTTCTGACCATTATATTGTGTTTTTATCTTAATGAATACTTACACTCATGCTCATCTTTTATTTTTAAGTCTATTTTGTTTATTTCGTCTTTTAAAGTTTTTTACTAACAAAAATCCAACTTTTATTCGTAAACTGAAACATGCTCAAGAAGTTCATGAAAATCTTCAATTCTCAGTAGTTTAATCTATGTGGAAACAATCTCGGTATTTCATCACTTTATTACTTACAAACAATCATAATGTCGACTTGCACTTGCACCGTCTTCATTGTGTGATCACAAATGATCTTAAGCTGTCAATGCTTTTATAAGAACTACCATCCAAGAGAGTGATATTTTCTAAGTTATTCCATAAAAGTCTTGATTTTTACTTTAAACTTGGTTTGAAGTGATATTTTATTAGCTTTTATATTTTTTTCACTTTATTAATATTAAAAAAATACATAAAATTCAAGAAAAAATTATTATAAAAACCACTATTACAAAGTTTTATAGTAGACTCTTACAAGTGTTTGGGATTGCTCATAAAAACAACTTGTTAACTTATTCCGGTATGATACCGGTAATAAATAATTTTGAATGTTTGGATAAACAACTTGTACCGATGTCAAACAAATAATAAGAAGTTAAAGTCTACTAACTTATAATGAGTTGATAAATACTTTTATAAAAAATAAAAAATTATTTTAAATTTGATGAAAATAATTTAAAAAAATTACAAAAAATAAGTTCATTATAAGAACTTCCATTAGAGATGGTTGTTTAATAACAACCAAACCGAAACTATGGATGGATCGTCTGCTTCCTGCTCTCTTTTTTGAATTGGTGAAGAGTCGTACGCTTGTTGGGATTTGCCACCACCTGTTGAAACTGACGTCAACCCACAGAAATACCTTCCCTACTTCCCCCCTTCCCTTTTTCTTTCCCCAATTTCTCTTCCAATTAATGATTCTGCCTATAAATTCTACCTCTGGTTATCTCAATTTGTTTATAAAAACAAATGGGTCAAAGCTACGCATAGAAAATAAGATAAGAAGAAGGAAAAATGGGAGAAAACGGAGTTTTTGCAGCCATTGTAGCAGGAGATACCTTCAAATACTACTCAGAAGGCGAATGGAAAGTTTCTGCATCTGGCAAATCTGTACCGATCATCAACCCTACCACCAGAAAGACCCAATTCAAAGTCCAAGGTATTCATGCTCTTGCTATCTCTTGTTAGTTTCATTAACAGTTTGTTAATTCTCTTTGTAATGAAGCCATTTCCCCAACTGCTTACTCATGATCTATTGTTTTTCTCATCTGGGTGTTCAAAAAATTTAAGAAATTCCATCAAAGTTATTAGGGTTTTAGTTTTGTTTCTTGTGATACAGCATGTACGCCAGAAGAAGTTATTAGAAATTCCAACTAGGCATTCATGAAGGATTGCCTTCTTTTTTTTTTTTTTTTCTCATACGGGTATTCAAAGAAATCAAGAAACTCCAACGATCTTAATAAGGGATTTTAACTTTTTGTTTATTGTGATACAACATGTAACACACTATTCCCCAACTGGGTATCCATGTTTTCATTCTCTTTTCATCTGGGTACTCATTAGAAATAGAGAAATCTCAATCAAATCCTTTTAGGGATTTTGACTTTTTGTTATTGTGATGCAGCATGTACACAAGAAGAAGTCAACAAGGTAATGGAATCAGCAAAAATTGCACAAAAATCATGGGCTAAAACGCCTCTATGGAAGAGAGCTGAATTGCTACACAAAGCTGCAGCTATTCTTAAAGATCACAAGAAGCCCATAGCTGAGTGCCTTGTTAAAGAGGTTGCTAAACCTGCCAAAGATGCTGCTACTGAAGTAAGTTCGATAAACAATTGCTTTCTGTGTGTTTTATGTTAATTGCTGGTTAATTTGTTAATGAAGGGATTAATTTATTGAATTTGATTAGTTTGGGAACTAATTATAATGACTCCTTACCTTCATGTTTGGTAACCTAAGAACTTCTATTCGTGCTATTGATTTTGGTCCATAGTTTGTATTTTGGTCAAATTTTGTGATTCTCATCGGCCGAAGGTGGTATAGTAGGTTATGTGATCGAGCAGATTAAGGGTGTGTTTGGGTTGAGGGGAATGGGAATGATAATGGAATAGTTGTTTGGAATTACATAATATAATGGGCTCGTTATCCAAAACTCTATAATAGTCATTCCTGACCCAATTGAGGGAATGAAAAGTCATTCTCGATCCCATTCCCATACCCATTCCAAACGAACACAAAAGGTTAGGGGTTGTTTACCAAACACTGAGCCAATTGAGGGAAGGAAAAGTCATTCTCGATCCCATTCCCATACCCATTCCAAATGAACACAAAAGTTTAGGGGTTGTTTACCCATCCCAAATGAACACCAAAGGTTAGGGGTTGTTTATCAGCAAGGGCCATCAAAATGGATTGTTGCTAAGCGTCTTAACCCGATAAGCGCTTGCCATCTAAGATTCTTTTCCCTCACTGGGTAAGACTCTTGGTCCTTGCTATGCCTCTTATCAGGTAAGATTCTTGGTCCTGTCCATGCTCAATCGATAAGGTAAACAGATATATGTAAGGCCCATTAATGTGTTTGGTTGGGGGTAGTAGGGGGTGGGGAATGGAAATGGAAATAATTACCGGTGTTTGGCTTGATGCAATGGAATGTGTCATTACTAGATATCTTTCCTACCGTAATATAAACTTTGACTAAAATACCCTTCAAAAATACAATATACTGGGGGTGCTTGGTTGGAAGTAACAAGGGGTGGCGAATGGAAATGGAAATCATTGTTGGTATGTGGTTGATACAATGGAATGGGCCAATATCAGATACCGGGTAATGAAACATTCCTCAATAACTTTGGGGATGCAACTTATTCCCATTTACATTTCCTGAAACGAACCAAGCATAAGATTGGATTGTTTGTAATCACCTAAAATCATTTTAGGCAATTGATTAATAATGAATCATATGGAATACAAAGAATATAAAGTTAGAAAAATTATGGTAGGAAAGAGAGAATAAAGAAAGGTTTTGTGCCCAAGAAAGTAAATTATTCGTTCCTTTCGATGATTTTCCCATGTTTGACTGTAAATTGACACTTGTACCTTGAAAAAGTTGTATAATATATGCCTACCTACATGGGGAAAGTTAAAAATTGAGCATAAAAGATTGCTCTTTTATTGCTGGACCACAAGATTAGGCTCATGTTATATTCTAAAGAATCAAGTAAAGATAGAAGCTTTAAGAAAAATCCACAAAATTGTGTTCATGCACTCTACAACCGGTAGATTCTGTTTGCAAAATGATATCCTCAAATGCATGATCAATTAATTCTGATGATTCTTTCGCTTGGTGTAGGAAACATAAATATTAGAGAAATTTTTACATGAATGGATTAAATATTTTGACATATGCCCATGTAAATAAGAATTAATTAAGGATTTGAATTTACTAAATTATCCAATTATGAATGTGTACCAAACATTTGAAGCTGCTTATGTAAACAAATACTCTTAAGATGGACTTATTTAATTATATATTGAACTTGAAAAGAAAAGCAAATAATTTTTGTTCCTATGTGTATGTGTATGGGTGTGTAATTTTTCTTTATTTGGTTATCTGCAACAACATCAATGAGCTTTTTGAGGACTATTCTCAAATCTTTGTTTTGCTTCCATATTTCAATGATTATTGATAAGAAAAAGAAATCAAGATTCCCATTTGTGAAGTACTAATGTTTTTGATTAATTTGATATGAATATATGATTTTGAAGGTTGTGAGGTCGGGAGATTTGGTGTCGTATTGTGCTGAGGAGGGTGTAAGAATCCTTGGGGAAGGGAAGTTTTTGGTGTCGGATAGTTTCCCGGGAAACGAGCGAACAAAATATTGTCTAACTTCGAAGGTAAGTTTGCTACAATCTATGTTGCTGATTTTGTGTTCATGTGCATCATAGGGTGGGTTTGGTATGCAAGATAGGACAAAACAAAAGCTTGTTGTCCCATGTTTGGTGTGATATTAGACTAGGATAGGATAGGGCTTGAGTGGACAAAAATGCATTTTTTACCGAAATAGGTGGCACAACAATCAGGGTGATGGGACAAGATTGGTAAATTACTAAACTACCATTGTCAAATTAAAACCCTAAAACCTCGCTCAATTCTGTCCAGTCTTGTCTAGTCCCGTCTGCGTACTAAACACACCCTTAATGTAGAAAAAATGGATCTTTATTTTTGTAAATTTTGTTGCCTGGTATGGACAAAAGAAGCTACTTGCGTAACGGTTTGTCTTTTATTGCAGATTCCGTTAGGTGTTGTTTTAGCGATCCCACCATTCAACTATCCGATCAATTTGGCCGTCTCAAAGATTGCTCCAGCGCTTATTGCAGGCAACTCGATTGTACTGAAACCACCTACGCAGGTGTGTAAATTGCTACAGTTTTTAACTTTAGTAGAAGGGTTTGACTAGTAGTCAAACACCCAATGAAATGGAGGAATCTTTAGCAACTTTCATGGTGGTTCTAGCTAGTATTATTTTTAAATTTTATTCCTTTCAGGGAGCCGTGTCTGCACTCCATATGGTTCATTGCTTTCACTTGGCCGGTTTCCCAAAAGGCGTCATCAGTTGTGTTACTGGAAAAGGTTCTGAGATTGGTGATTTTCTCACAATGCATCCGGGAGTTAATTGCATAAGGTGATTATTATATCTACTAATCTTAATTTTAACAAAAAGAACCCATTAAGATTACCTTTTGGGTAATTAGGAAGAATAAAGGAACTTCAAATTTAAGGGTCGATGCCACTGTTGTTACTCAGCTTCACGGGTGGAGACACTGGTATTGCAATCTCAAAAAAGGCGGGCATGATTCCGTTACAAATGGAATTGGGTGGAAAGGATGCTTGCATTATTCTTGAGGACGCGGATTTGGACTTGGCTGTGGCTAACATCGTCAAAGGAGGCTTCTCTTACAGGTGATATTGTGTTCTGCATCTTTAATTTTTGTTGTTTAGGGTGCGTTTGGTATGCCAACAGGGCTGCACGGGACTGGACCGGTGAGAGTGAGGTAGGCTGGTGTAATTGCTGTAGAAGGTTTTAAGGTTTTAATTTGACATGGGTAGTTTAGTAATTTACCCAACTTGTCTCTCATCTTCTTGATTTTTGTTCCACCGATTTTGGTGGGAAAGAAATTGCGTTTTTGTCCCCTGTTCTTTCTGTCTAGTTGTTGCGCCATGCCAAAACTTAGGGTGCATTTGGTGCGCAGACAGGACTGGACAGGACATGACAGAACAGGACGGGACAGGACAGGACAGCTGTTCAGCGTTTGGTAAGACAGGACAGGACAGAACTGGTTAAAATGACCAATTTACCCCCAGTGAGTTGTTTAGTGTTTTTTCACTACGAAATGCATTCAAGACACAATGGACTAATTATTGGTTCAATCTAACACAAGACACAATGGACTWATTATTGATGCAAAAATACTTAAACCTTARGATGCTAAATCGAAGATATCTGGTTCTTAGCATACTGACCTAGTAATGATTTCCTCTCGGGCGGTCTGAAGACAACCCTATCTTTCCCAGGCAACTGTAATCCACCACCACCAGTTGCATCAGGCTCCAACGTTTCCTTTATCTTGTCTATGTCARTCGGATTCTGTAGTGGCAAATTGAAAATCAAACAAGTTTATGACTGATAAGAAATGAATTCTTTGTGCTTAGTTAAAGAATACCCGAGTTCATATTTAGACTAATCCAATGCTGAAGAAATGGACTAAAATTGCTTCGATGGTGTAAACGCCCGGCAAGACCGGTGTTGCTCTTACAGCAAACTCTCATGCGGACCATCACAGTCCCATGAGTTAACGATCTATCCGCCATTGAAAACCCCATCGAACGACTTACCAGTCGAGAAGCAACAGTCGATTGGATATGGAGAGAAGAGTTCGGTACCGTCGATTGGAACAGTGGAGAAGAGAAGAATGCCGATTGGAACTCGCCGTCGCTGGTCGCCGTCGATGGTCGCCGTTGATGAAGGAAGCGATGGAGGCATTGATCGATGAAGCGATGGAGGCGATGGTTAGGTCTTGTGAGAGCCGGGTAGGGGAAAAAGGGTAATGAGGGAAAAAGTTTTGTGTTCCACTTAGTTCCAGGGGTAATGGTTGGACAAGCGTGTCCCATGCTTGTCCAACTTAGTTCCACATTCAGCCACACCAAACGTAGGACAAATGTGTTCTGTCCTGTCCTGTCCCACCTTGTCCAGCGTACCAAACGCACCCTTAAGAAACACCGTCTATTTGATGTAAGAACAATGAAATGGATCAACAAAATACAGAATGAAAATGAAGGAAGATCGAAAAAGATGAAATGGAACCTTGAAACGTTTCCAAATGTTCAAGTGTTCCATTTCAAGATTCTTGATTTGTTGTAGACAGATTAGGTCAGTGTTTTAACTTTCTTCACTAAATTTTCAAGCCAAAGTTACCTAATTACCCATCATGATTCTAATTTTGGTCCACAAGATTTGCCCTATTCTCCTATTTTGAAGGGTATTTCACGTCTACGACTTTCAAGCCAAAATTACCTAATCACCCATCACAATTCTGATTCCGGTCACAAGATTGCTCTATTATCCTATAGTGAAGGGTATTTTACATATTTGACCAACTGTTACACACTTGGAAAGTATTTAAGATATATAGGGTTTCAGGGGTATTCATGGAAACAACTCCTCTACTCTTTTTGGGTAGAAGTCATGTCTGCATACATCTTATCCTCTGGACCGTGCATTGAGTAGGACATATGGGTGTGTTTTGTTTGGTTTGGGTTGGTTTGGTTTGGCCAACTAGTCTTAACCTCTTGGGGATGCTTTATTTGTAACAGTGGTCAACGATGCACAGCAGTTAAAGTCGTGTTAGTAATGGAATCCATAGCCGATACACTTGTGAAAAAAGTCAATGAGAAGATCGGAAAATTAAGCGTTGGTCCACCGGAGAACGACTGTGACATCACCCCGGTAGTAACAGAATCCTCTGCTAACTTCATAGAAAGTTTGGTCATGGACGCCAAGAAAAAAGGAGCAACATTTTGTCAAGAATACAAGAGAGAAGGCAACCTCATATGGCCTCTTTTGCTCGATAACGTAAAGCCAGAGATGAGAATAGCGTGGGAAGAACCGTTTGGACCCGTGTTGCCCGTTATCAGGATTGGTAACGCTGAAGAAGGGATCCACCATTGTAATGCAAGCAATTTTGGGCTTCAGGTACCCTTGTTCTACCAGGTCCTTTCGTTAAATGGCCTTCTATTAACTTCTTTTTAAACCCTATGACCCTCTGACAGCTCTGAGAATAACATTGTTTAACATAATAATGTCACTTCCGTACATAACAATGCCTGGAAACAAAGGTCAGGTGGTCTTGGATTGTGGTCAAAACCCAGTCTTTTGGCTTCCGAAAAAATGCCAATCTTTTCAGATTTCAAGAAATCTTGATGATGGCGTGTGAGTTTATAATGTATGCTTTAATTTGGCAAATGATAAGTCTTCGATTTGTAATAATTTTTTGAAGTTCTTGAAGTAACTAGTTTGACCTCATGGGCCTTTTCTTCTTTCAAACAAATTTATATATGGATGATACCTTGTTTTTGGCTGATAACGAAAGATGGGAGCCGAAAACTGAAATGGGAAATTGAATAAAAACGAGCTTAAACGAACGGGTTAGTAACTAAAAGTTTCTAAATGTGTTGTTATACAGGGTTGCATCTTTACAAAGGACATCAACAAAGCAATGCTGATAAGTGATGCGATGGAAACTGGTACTGTGCAGATAAACTCGGCACCAGCTCGAGGACCTGACCATTTCCCATTCCAGGTTCGTATTCTGTTCACGTCATCGTGTCTTTTGTGAACCCCTTTGGCCCTAAATCAAGCTTCTGAAAGAATATTTTGTCGGACAGGGTTTGAAGGACAGCGGAATTGGTTCACAAGGAGTGACCAGCAGTATCAACATGATGACGAAGATGAAGAGTACGGTGATCAACTTGCCCACCCCTTCGTACGCGATGGGCTAGTAAAACTTAGAACGGGAAGGCTTTGGAGAAGGCCGTGCGTGTGTGTATATAGCTTGTATGATAGTTTCCCGTGGTTTCGGTTGCTCGGGAGGTTGGATATTGCGACATGATATGGTATCGGGGTTCAAATAACGACGTCAATTGACAAGTTAGGAAGTAGAGTGGAACTTATGAATTTTCTCGGCAGGGTGTTTGCCACTCTTTGAATGATGTATTGCGGACGTCCGTGGTCTAATAATATCAAATTTAGCCTTTGTAGCGTTTGAATCATGAATTTTAAGAAAAACTCGTAGCCTTTAAATCACTCTGGAAAAAGTATTCAAAACATTGGAAGTTTAGGGCAGTAAAAGTCAAATTATAAAGTTTAGGGACTAGTTAGCAAATAAAAGTAAACAACACAACTTTGGGACTGTTTTATTTAAAAAAATAGAACCATAAAATTGTCTAATGGATATATTTTTAAAAGGTATATTAATAAATATGACTTCATAATCATTTTTGAAAAAACCTTTCTAAATGAGCAAAGATATTTTAATCAAGAAGATGTTAAGCTTATGTAACAATTGAAAAATGAGATCAAATCTTTACTTGAACTTTCTTTACTTTTTGATACAGATTATTTGATTATTGAGACTGATGATTGTAGTAATCATTTTTGAGGTTATCTTCATATTTGGAGAAAAAACTCTCATCTCTCCTGCTTTCTCTATTTTGGAAATAATTTTGAAAAACTATTGAAACAAAATATTGGCTCAAAATCCTTATTATCTCCATTTTGAAGAAGCTGTTGGAGATGCTCTAAGATATCTCCAACAGATTCTTCAGATAATCAAAAGTCAAAATTTCTTAAGGAAAAATCAATTTCATCTTCAACAATTTCTTCATTTTTAAAAATTATGATATTAATTATATTATTAATGTATTTAATACAATTAATAAAATAATTTTTCTCTCTCCAAAACATTTAATTTCAAGATTTCTTATCAGTAAAAAAATATATTCTCTTTCCTAAGAACATCTTCAACAGATTCTCTAAAATGAAGATTTTGAAGTTTTTTACTCTAAGAGATTCTCGATAACCTTCTCCAAAATGGAGAAAGCAGTAGACAGATGATGAGTTTTTTTAAATCTCCAAAAATGATTATGTAAGAAAGAGAAATGATTTTTTTTATTCTTTCTACCAATGAGAATCTTTGAAATTAAATATTTAGAAAAAAATAAATATTATTTTATTAATTGTATTGAATATTTTAATAATATATATAACATTGTAACCTCCAAAATGGAGATAAATCTAAAATTTTCTTGAAGATTTTGACTTTTTGGAGAATCTGATGGAACAAAAATCTTCAAAATCTTTATTTTAGAGAATCTGGTAGATATGTTCTAACAAATCTGAGTCACAGATACAATTTTAAAAATATGTAACTAGTATAATTTTTAATTAATTAAAAATAATTTTTCTCTTAATAATAGGGAAAAACAAATACTCCACCTCATAATTAAGAGAATACTGAAAAAAGAAATTTTTATTTTTGAATATGAACATTTATTTTGGTATAAATGGAAAACAAAAATGTAAATACTTAATTTGTGACAAAATGAATATAATTTTATGCCAAGATGACCTGTAATTAATCTGGTTGTTCGGGTTAAAGGGGAGGGCCTCGTCAAAATCATCGGCTTTCTGGATTTCAAAATAAATTATAATTAGTTAATACATTTCAAATTTTCATGGCTTTTTTGGATTTCTACTGTAAACATTAGTGTTGTTAAAGAGGCAAACAAGTGAACTAGTTGATATAATTCGACGTTTACTGTATAAAATCTTCACGTTAACTAAAACAACTGTAAACTACGAAGAAGATGATATAACCCACGATTATGTGTACCGAGAGTAGACAGATGTGGGTCGGAGGGCTTGGCTTAAATTGTATGATAGAATGTTTTGATTTTATCATGAACACAATTTGTACGAAACATGATGACTGATTCTTGAAAACCGGTTATACATACCAGTTAAATTTTGTATTTTTGCATTTATGCTAAAGATGCACGATCGGTCCTTAGGCTCGGTTCAACCAAAGTGATATTAAAACGGCTTTTTTTTCCTGGTTTAGGAAAGTAGACATACATAAGTCCTTCTGGTAATAATATTTGTTGCACAGTATCTTGCATTTATTCTCTATCATGTTTAAATTAAATTTGACACAAATTAGGTTTTGCAAGTGTGATACTGTTATGGCGATGTATAAGTTGAATTTGCATGCAAATATGTTGTTTTATACCTTAAATGACCATATGAATCTTTTTTGAATATTGGTCAAAAGTGTAGTTTCAAGAAATTCGGGCGTCTGCAAGTCCAAACACAGATATTCGTATTAAAACGAAACCCGCATTTTTCAATGTAAATGGCGTGGAAACAACATTAAGTTTCATCACTTTTATGCCTTAAAGTCAAGACGCCTGCAAAAAATTTGTGTAGATCTCTGTATTTGTACTGCTTTTTCGATGTTATAGATCTACGAGCCTTTTTGCTTAAATACTGAGATTTGCATCATGTGCTGCTTGTTCAGTCTTAGATCTAAGCTTATTTGTAACAGGTATGTTAGATTACATCTTATGTGTCACGTATCTTGAGTTTATTTTTCATTTATGTAAGTCGACTTTTTTTTTTGATTAACCTGGATATCCAACCCGCTATGCGAGCTGACTAATCCCAAGGCGACCACCTGTTTTGCAGATAGCCCGAAGTCACCGCATTTGAACCTTCGTGGCCATAAGAGGATTTTTATTCTTTCTTGGATTTGAACCAGAGAATAAGTTAGCATTTTGTTGCACTTGAAACATACTTTGTGCATGGGATGTTATATTTCTTGTGTAATATCAAAATTTGTTATCTGGTGATATTTGATGATTAATATACTCAGTATCGTCATATTGCATGAAACATGTATATGCACTACATTGCTCCATGAACATTTCGATTACGTCACATACATATACCGCCATTATGTGTTCTGTTTTTAAAACGATTGCAGCTTAACATCTTCATCTTTATGGCATCTTTATGATTGAAAGCTATGCGGATCAACTTGTGCTTCATTCCTATTTTACTTATGTTCTATGTATATATCTGTCTGATTCTCTTGCATTATTGCAAACCTCTTGTGCGAGAATTTTATGGCACGTTAAGTATTGTCGCTTTTGATCTTCATTTAGGACGTTATCATTTTGTGTGTCTGCTTCACCATTATGCTTATGCTAATTCCGTGAAACGTGAAGCTACAGCTTTAAGTTTCTGATATCTGTCGTTGGAGAATACGAAAATTGCGAGAATGTGAAAATTGTGAGAGAGCTTGAGAACTTTAGATAACGTATGAAATAAAAAATCAAAGTTCACTCCCGGTTTCTACTAAATCCCGACAAACTAACTTTCCTCCGTAATGATGTCCAAACTAACCATCGGGAGGGGGTAAAAAAGACATTTTAAACGTTAAACAGTAAAACAAACAAACAAACTATAGAGGTATTATTTTATTTTATTTTATTGGTCCAAAATTGTCCCTGGATTTTTGCTTAACGATTAGTTTGCCTAGATAGATAACAATGCCTTTTATCGGTCCTAAATGGGCCTTTATTCAGCCCATGGGATTGGTCCTGTACTAAAAAATCCAAATCGTTCGGGCTTTTGGGGATGGACCAACCTGGTTGTGGTGTTGCAAGGATTGGGTTTGGTCCGCGTTGTGCATCTCTAATCCATTCCACGGTTCTGGTGCTAGATCAACTGTTGCAAATATTCTTACACTGTTCAATAAATGTTCCACCGGTTGAAAAAACTCCACCCACAAGGGTATGGACCACCGATAATGAAACAATAGGTAGCCAATCGATTCTGTAACTCGAGTACATAATCAACAAGATGAACGATGTTGAGGCAGAATATTCCGTTATAACAAAAGATATATAGTTGGAATCCTTTTATGGAATCGTAAAAAGAACGCTTTGGATTTTAGGAGGGACGCTTTTATTCCATAACCTATTTGGCTATGTTGACATAGCTGGAGCGTTAATCGTACCTCCATTTAACACAGACTTGTTTGGCACGGACCATTAGTTTTAACTTGGTTTTGGTCATCTTATTTTTTCCGGCTTTAATTTGCTTATGCTTTTAATTCACCAGTAGGTTTGAGTAAACCACTGGTACAAGCAATGATTTGATGGCAATAGAACACTGGATTCGATTCCCCAATTTCGCAAGAAGGATAAATTATGGCAGAACCGCGTCTCGTATTAAACAATTTTGTTTCAATTTCAAGCAGTACAGTACAAATTCGCAGACATATTCGAGATCCCAAGTCCGATGTCTCTGTTTAGTTGGTTTTACGAAAGAATCAAACCAAACGTGTAGTTCCTCTAACATGAAGATTCTTCGAGATATTTTTCCATTTATGTTATCTAACGATGTATGAAGTATCCGTCACCATATCCAAGCTCATTAAAAACCGCAATGTCCATAAGCTATACCGTAATACGTATGATAATCTAGAAACCATGCATTAAACTCTTACGAAACCGAACATCAAAATGACCGTTGAAACAGTTGATTGAGACTGCAGACACTTACCGTACTGTATGGTTTCTTTTAACAAGAACCCATTAATTGAACGTTTTTTTTATTAAAACTGCACTTTTTACACATGTACTAAAGTCAGTTTGGGTCTTTACTAGTCATGCGACAAGCATCGGGATTTATTTACAGGTCAAAATCAACTTATTTCAATCATCAAAAGCTCCCATGCAAGTTGAATCTGATCATGCCATATCGAAGCGAATTCGAGCCCTACTCGATTCATTTTCAGTTCTACTAATGTATCGAACTGTTATTTTTCTTTGTAGAACCTAATATTTTTATGTTAATTAATTTGATTAAGGGGATGTCTGGGATTACATATGAAAACAACTTATTGGCTCAATACACTGTGCCACCAGTAATAAGCATTTTTGATTGTTTGGATAAACAACTTATACCGGTGTCAAACCAGTAATAAAGAGTTTTTGAAAAAATTAAACTCCTATAACTTATAATAAGTTGATAAGTGCTTTCGTTGAAAAACATTAGTAATATAAAAATTGTTGTGAAATTGCAAAAAAGGACAAAAGAATGGTATAATTGTGAAATTTAGAGAGAAAAGGGAAGAATCTGGTATTGAAAAAGGGAGCATCCAACTTTTGAAAATTGCAGATTGGTATCTGAATTTTGAATTTGTTTAAATACCTACAAAAATGCTCAAATCTGCATACTTGTTCCCTTTAGATTTCCTCAAATTTCTCAATCTCTCCCAACCCCTCTTCAAATTTCACATAAACAAGCCCTAATTCCCCTTTATATAGCTCTGTATCTATATATCTATATATATATATCGCACATATACGAGACATTTAACCTATTGGGTATCTTCTTTCTCTCTCCATCTCTCTCTTTCAAATGCTTTTTTAGTCTCTCTCTCTCTCTAGACAAACAAGCACTGTGTTCTTCGTTCTTTGTAATATAGTGTTGGATTTCTTGGGAAAGATTTCTTGAAAACTTAAGAGGCGTTTTGTGTACTCTCTGTATTCGTTGTGGGATTTTGTTTTGTTTCGTGTTGTTTCACGGTGATTTTTGTTAGGGTTTCGAATGGTGCGAGGAGACTGAGGTCGAATTGACTGATTTTGTTGTTGAAAAAGATCCAACAGAGTGAGGAAAATTGAAGATGGCGTCTACAGATGTTGAGCTAGAGCAACAGCTTAAGGAGGCAGGGAAACAGCTCTCACATCCCCCTGATTCCGTCGATGAACTTCTTCCTGTTCTTGATGTAAGCCCTCAATTTGAGTTTCTGTTTGCGTTTGTTCGTTTCGTTAATTACTACCTCCATTTCACAAAAAAAAAAAAAAAAAAATCCATTTTGATCTTTGTAGAACTTTCGAAAATTCAAATATGAAATTGATGCAAAATTTTATTTACGAAGCAAAATGACTCTTGTTGGTTTTTGAATTTGCGAACGGTACACACATTTGACACTTGAAAGTAGGATTTATCAGGGAGCGAGGGAGTTGTTCTTTCGTTTAACATTTTATGTGGAGAGCTTTGTAGGTAATTTGTGATATAATTAGTCTATTCAATCTGCATCTGCTTTGTATGTTGCCTACCCTACATCTTTTGGTTTCATGTCGGTTTTGTATTACTTAGGGTTATGGATTGCAACTTGAGATCTATATTACTTTCTTAATATCAAGACTATGGGGGTAGCTAGTTTTATAAATTGACTTTGTTATCTCGTATTCCATGCTGTTTGCCTGCTAGGGTTCACCTGTCAATTCTCATTGTGATTTCCCCTTTATATATTTGCAAATGCAAGAACAACAATGCCATAGTTGAAGCACCCAACATCCTCATTGCTTATGGGGTTCACCTGTCAGCGGTAGGAATTTACGATTCCTGGAAGTTCCTACAATAATGGGAAATAATCTACCTTTCATCATGGTTTCAAGTATCATTTTACATGATTGGAAATAACCAATTAGGTTTACAACAAATTCGTCCTATGGCTGTAGACAGGAGTAGTTTAAATCCAGAATATCTTATGCATTTTTATTTGGGACGGAGGGAACAGCAGCTGCATATGCTTTCTTGATCGTTCTTCATGATTGAATATACTTGAACTTAATTGTTTCCCTCTGGTTGTTTGGGTGATCAGTATCCTTTAACTGTGCCTGTTGTTTTCTAAACATCTTTATTTTCTTAAGGAAATAATAGCGTGTATTGCAAGAAATCAATAATTTTATGGTTCATTTAGTTGTGGTATCAGCTCTGCAGATGATATAAAACTTCCTTTTGTTATATTGCTGAACATTCACCTCCTTGCTACTTTCTAATTCAAAGTTAGAAGGCCATGCCAGTACATATTGGTTAACATACTAGACTCGCAAACCTGTTTGCGACTACGACAGTTTAGTATAGCATTTGTGACTACTGTGACATTGTTGTTCTTTTAGATATGATGGTTCATGAATTCAAACATAATGTGGGTGTTATTACTCTAGCTCTGCTCCACTGATATTCGTTTGTTATAGAGTTCCATTAAACATAAGTCTATCAAAAGCAACTGTAGAACTTCATTTGTAGGCTTTTTCAGTGGAACAAATAATAAAAGAGTGGGTGACAAGAATTGTTTAGTTTCAATTTTGAAACATATTGTAGCTAAATTGGCTACTTGCAAGCGTTATAAGGGAGTTGTGATTCATTTGGGTTACAGTATTTACTTCAATGTGAATGTTGGAGCCAAATAAAGTATTATGAATATTTATCTAATGCTCAACCACTTCTATTAATTTGTGTATAGGATCAAACATTTGTGGGATGGAGGGAGTCTTTTGCACTTTCAGGTGATAATTTGGAGTTTTGGACAACATAAGAAAATCGGGACATCCTTAATAGCAGTAAAGGAATAGCTTCCTTAGGCTGGTTTAATAATTTGGACAACAAAGAAAATGGGGGCATCCTTGTTTATATCTTTTGCTTCATAGAACTGACTGTATGATTTACTTCCCTAATTATACCATTTTTGATAACCATGGTTGTCAGATATCTGTATCTGTTGATGCATTAAGGGGCTTACTGCCATTTATGACAACAGTTCGTTTGCTTCTTGAGTTGCTTGTGAGTCAAATATGCATGTATATAATGCCCATTCAAGCTGTAAGGAAGCAAAGCAAAGATGCATTCAAATATCACTAATCCAGTTAGTTGCCCATAATAATAAATATAGGACCTCTTTTTGTACATTGGTTTGTAAAAATTAATGGTAACTAGCTGAATGTGTATGAATTTGAGTACTGTGATTACTGATTGCTTGTAGACAGTGGATTCCAATGATCCGTTGTGTTATGTCCTTAAAATGAATATTTGGAAGTAGCATTTAGTCCATCTAATCATGTCTTTTGTCTGTGCTGCTCAGCAAGTAGAGAAACTTTTATCAAAGGTGGACCAGTCTCCAAAAAAATCGATGCTAGATGCACTCAAACCATCAATGAAGGCGTTGATTCAGGATGGTCTTTCAAGACATTCAGATGTCGATGTGAAGGTTGCAGTTGCGTCCTGCATCAGTGAAATAACGAGAATTACAGCGCCTGACGCACCATACACTGATGACCAAATGAGGGTACACCACACACAGCAGTTGTTACTTCATGTCCTATATTTTTTGCCTTCATATTCTAAAACTCTTCTGCATGCACAGGATGTCTTTCAGTTGATTGTTTCTTCCTTTGAGCATTTAGCTGATCGGTCCAGCCGATCTTATGAGAAGAGGGCCTCAATTCTTGAAACTGTTTCCAAAGTTAGATCATGTGTGATCATGCTTGATCTTGAATGTGATGGGCTGATTGTGGAGATGTTTGAGCATTTTCTAAAATCAGTAAGGTGTGTTATAGTTCTTAAGAGTACTATGCATTTAATCGTACGTGATGGTTCATTTTGCTAATGACGTTATTGGAAGATGTATGCAATAGAATATGCTATCATTAGTTGGGGTTACAGATAATATAACACATTTTGTGGTTTAGTATATGCAACATGCCAATGTCTATGGTCACAGTTCTTGTGAATATGCACTGCCTTTTTTTATTAGAGTATACTGAGGTGAGCTTTCTATGAATGCTTTATGCTCTTCTGATTAATAAGTAGCCTGCGCAATCAAGGAAATGTAAAAGCATATATGCTATTGATAGATGTTTGAGAAAATTTACTATGTACATGTCGCCAGTTGGTGGTAGCTTGAACTCTCACTGTATAGCAGGTTTCTTGCATATCACTTGGTGATACATTTATTCAATCTAAAATTGATGTCTAATAAATCAAATATCTATTTATGCAGGCTCCATATGAGCATATTGTGTGTAGTAGTTGGTAGACATGCATCATGAACACAAAGATAGCTATGACAGAATTCTAAACAATATTGGCATAAATGACCATTCTTAGAAACCATCATTTCACAGAGGTTTGGGATTGATCCTTGGGAAAGTTCTAGGTCACTTGTAATGTGTGTCAAGTGGAAGTGTCAAATGATGACTGATCTTTCTTATTGCTTTCTTCTTTGCCATTAAAGAGAGTTGCTTTTGGGAAGAAAACAAATGATTTAAGTATTAAGAAAGTGAAAGAGTATCTTGCTGAAAGTAACATGCACAAGGATCATACTTTTGATTGATTGCGATTTTACTATTTCTGCAAACTGCAACTGATCTATGTCAATATGGCTAGGGTTTAAGCCTTCTGAAAATACATATCTACTCCATGAAATTATGGTTTTCAACATTTTCACTTGAAATGGGATGATTGGCTCTGTGTTTGAACTTTGTTTTTGGTTCTCATTTCTTCTTATTGGTGTGTCATTCCTTATGTTTATGGTGTCCATGAATTGTCTTTGTACAATAATACCCCAAAAGCAGTGTCTTAGAAATCGTAGATTAACCTTGTGACGCAGATATCAACAGTTAGTTTGATAGTGCATTTAAGGTGACATTAAATATATACAAAGTTCCCTATAAGGTTAACCCAATTAACTCCATAATTTTTCCCTGCACATTATGAATTTTGTACAAACCATACAGAACAAGAAATATAAAGATATAACAGGGTTAGTTTCAAGAATATAATACCTCCTGTTGGGAGATTGAAGGTGATAATCATCATGTGTACCCTCTCTTCCCTAGTTTCAGTAACAGTATGTCATTATGTTTATTTCAGGGACTATCATCTTGACTCTGTATACTCATCAATGGAAAATATAATGGTCTTGGTTTTCGAAGAAAGTGAAGAAATTTCAGTTGAGATGCTCAAACCAGTACTGGCTAGCGTTAAAAAACAGAGTGAGGTATGAGGTTACAATGGTTTTGTTAATCACATTGAATTTTCTTTCTTGTTTTCCATTTTTGACATTATTTCTTCTGTTTAGGGAGTTTTGCCAGTAGCTCGAAGGTTGGGAGAAGGAGTACTTCTGAAGTCTGCAGCTAAGCTAAGGCCTTATTTGATGCCAGCTCTGATATCTCTGGGCGATACAGTAGATAATTACAGTCAAGTTGTGGCTTCAGTATGTGAAGGGACAACAGCTACATTTGAGCATAATGATGAGAATGCTTCAGGGCCACAGCTGGTATGATTTCTATATCCACTAAAAATCATTCTTAACTGAGATTGTTTGTCTGCATATTTGTTCTTGATTTTCAAAGTTGGTCACTAAGGGCCTGTTTGTTAACAGCTTAATGGGACTCGAAGCTTATTTGGCCAGCTATACATGACCATTTGGTAGTTGCCTGATTATATAGAAAGTGGCTTATTTCAGTAAGCTACTAGGGGGGAGCTTTATGCAGAAAGCCAAGTTTTCTTCCAAACATGCCCCTCCCAATTAAAAAACATGCTCCTTTCATCTATGAAAAAACCCTCTCAATCTATACAGGCAGATTAATCCAGTCAGCTTTATCCATACATGACCTTAATGGAAACCAACCAAACAGCCCCTAAGATGTTGAATTATGATTCCCAGAATTCATGTTCTGTGCTTGTGTTGTTATGTGCAAATTTTATATGCTATTTTATTGTGGGGCACATCTACTATTCCATATTTTATGCTGTCTTTTGAATTGATCGTTCTCATTACATTCTACACCACTCTATTTCAGGCCATTGAGAGCAAATTGGCAAAGGGATCCATAGACGAGGCACAACAGGCATGCAGTGTTTTTCTTTTTGTATTCTGTTTCTAATTTTTTTTTCTCTTTATCATTCATTTTGCTATAAAATGGATATGTTCAATAGTTTCAATCGTTTATTCAATAGTTCCAATCGTTTTTAGTTTCCTAACATTATAATGTTTCATCATTCCTTCTAATGTGTTGATCTTCTCTGTTTGACATGCTACAGGCTGATGAGAGCAAGCTTACAACAGCATCATCGGATCACACAGACCAGGTATGTTATTGGCATTTTAAATATTTGAACTCATCTACTACGGCCTTCTCTCACAAGAATATTCTGTATACTCTGGATATGGGTATTAAGTAATATTAACAAGTTGAAAAATGTTCTCAATTAGGTGGTCAAGGAAGGGACTTCTCCTGAAGAGGTCGATCCTACTTTGGACAGATCTCCAAAGTCAGTTATGAGTAATGGTGTAAATGTGATGGGAAATGATGAAGCTTCAGTTGATCAGGAGTCGTCAAAGAAGCCAGAGGAAGAAATAAATGAACAGCATCTTAATTTGACTAGTAAGGAAGACACTGATGATTCAGATGCTGAAAAGTTGGCAAAGGTAGAATCAAAGCCAGAACAGACTGCCAAAAAGAGGGGAAAGAAAGTTGATACAGTAATAAATTCAGCGGAGCCCTCTGATTCTTCTCATGTTGAAGGTGAGAAGGAAACAGAAAAACTACCTGAGAGTCAAAGAAGTGGCAGCAAGGATGTTCGTAGTTCCCCTGTTAAAGAGTCCTCTGTTGAAGCAGTGGTTCCATCAGAAATTGAAAAAGATAGTGATGTTCAGGTCTCTTCTCCAAAAGCAATAGAAAGTAAGTCTGCAAATGTTTCTTCCCCATCTCAAAGTGGCAGCCTTCCTGATGAGAGTTGTGTTAAGAAGACTGTCCGGTCTAAAAAGAAACAGGTACCTGAACAAGATGAAATTGAAACTGCAAATGCTGCTTCCCCATCCAAAAGCGGGAGCCCTCCTGATGAGAGGCGTTTGAAGAAGGGTGGGCGGTCCAAGAACAAGGGCTCGACTCAGGAGGAAACCCCTACGGTGGATGCTGCTTCAATTAAGGCACCTGAAGTAACGAGTGATTCAGATATAAAGCCACAAAGGCGAGCAGGAAAGAAGGCAGTTGTTGCAAAGGAGGTTAAACTCCCAGCTACCATAGATGAATCAGAAGATGGTGAAGCTACTAGTGATTCGGATGCAAAGCCTCTGAGAAAGTCAAGTAAGAAACTGGATACCGTTAATTCAGGGTCAAAGTCGACGAAACAATTGGGTAAGAAAGGGGATGCAGGAGATTCAGAGGCAAAGAAGCCCAAGCAGTCTGGTAAGAAGATGGATGCAGGGGAATCAGATTCAAAGAAGCCAAAACAGACTGGTAAGAAAGTGGATGCAACAGAGGCAGAAGGTAAGACTTCAAAACAATCACTCAAGAAAGCGGATGAGAGTGATTCAGACACAAAACCACTAAAACACTCTGTTAAGAAGGGCGAGAAAAGCGGGGTAGAAGCTAAACACAACAAAGTTACTGTCGAGGACGAGGAGGAAAGTGATTCAGAAACCAAACCACTTAAGCTGCCTGCTAAAAAAGGTAATACAAGCAATTCTGGTGATGTTAAATCTTCTTCAAAGAAGAAGGATGATGGAAGAAAACGTGGAAGTGGTAAAAATGTTACAGAGAAGGATCCAGCAAAATCCTTGTGCATCGACGATGTCAGTAGTTTCTCCTTTCTTTATTCCTTTATTTTCTTTTCAAGTGACGATGATATATGTATATTTTTTAAAATCAGCTAAAAATGTCTTTTGGATTCTGAAGGAGATGAATTCTTCTCCAAAGACTGCAGCAAAATCAACTAAAGGGGAGGGCAACGTAAAGGATACCCCGGTGAATAGTTCAAAACGGAAGCGTAGTACAGGCAAAGATAAAGTAACTATTCTACCTCCTTACTCCTAGGTTGACTTTCAGTTTTTTAAAAGGAGTCAAAGTTTGTCTGGGGCCTGCTTAAGATTGACTTCATTTCTTATGTTGTCAAGGGATTTTGTATCATGAAGCCGGCAATATGTCATCATGCTTGCGACAATATTTTTTTTGGTTGAGAAAATTCTAACATGCTATTTTGGTACCCTTTTTGCACTATGGAGCTGACGATAGTGCATCATCATCGCAACCATATTCTTTGGCTTTAGAAAAGTTCTAGCAGGCTATTTTTGATAACCTTCCATTCCTCCCATACGTCCTAATTTTGTGTGTGCAGTAGTCTGGAGTCTTCACAGAAACAGTCGCTCTACTCTTTAGAGTAGATGCCAAGTCCGTGTACATCTTCCCCCCCCCCCCCCCCGGGCGGGAAATCTCCTGGTGGGATTTACTGGGCTCGTTTGGTTTGTTTATTTTGAGTACATAAATAGTTGTTCATTGCAGGCTGTGTGTTGGCTTATAGTTTTGATTTCATCTGAGTTTTTTAGTTGTGGGGTTCCTTGCTGTTCTTGCCACACTTCTGTTTCGCATTTTTGTAATTTCCTCTTCCTGATAAATCTTATGCTTCTGTCTTTGCTTTGGATCATGTTGGTCTATATGTTACTAAGTTTTGCGTCATCTGTAATTGGTTTCATATGTGCTGAAGAAATCTTTTTTTGTAGTTTCTCATTCCTTCTTTTGGTCTTGCTTTAGTTCTGTTGATATTTGAGGTAAACTTGCTGCATGTTCCTGTTCCACAAATATCATTTTCTTTAAATAATGTTAAGAGATGGGAGATTACTTACATGAAACATTGTGTCATTACACTCTTATAGAAATACAGAGGAGCAAAGCACCTTGGTAATCGACAAGTGGTGGGCTGATGTTTAGTATATAAGGTTACACGTGGTATTTGATACAAGACTTAAATAATCCATGTTATAGAAGTGGTCTCTTGTTTTAAATAAACAAGATAAAAAACTTTAAGATTGGGCATCTTTCACTCCCGTCTATCTCTTAGGAGTTTCTGTGATCTTTGTAAACCTTTTAGTCCAAGATTTGTATTTGGGTATGAAAATTATTGTTGCTTCTTTCATAATTCTTGGTGCTGCATCTTTGGATCAACTTCTGAATGTTGGAATATGAACTTCTCTCAGATATCTGATGCTATAAAATATGATAAAAGCCTTGTTGGTTTGAAGGTCAAAGTTTGGTGGCCTGAAGATAAAATGTAAGTGCCTTCCCCGTACTCTTGGTTTTTAGCATTCTTACCAAATTGCTAATTATTCATGATTATGCATGGAATCTTAGTTTGCTTCGACCATTTCTTCATTTTCTTTATAAAGTTTTTTGATACGAGCATTAGGTTTGATCTTAAAACTGATGGCTCATTCTGTTTCATGCCGCATACTAAGCTTGTTTTAGCTTACATATCTGTATTGTGATTTACGAAGTCCAACATTGAATTGTAATCATGCTTGCTGTCATTTTGCACCAAAATCTGGATTCTGTATTTCCTAAAATTTTCAATCTAGCTTCTGTTGATAGAACTTAAGTTCAAGGTTTCTTTATTGATTATTAGATCTGTGTATAGATTGACTGACATTTACACTGTTGCTTGTAGGTATTACGAAGGTCTTATCGAGTCATATGATTCCGGTAAAAAGAAGCACAAGGTCATTACAATATTTGATATATCTGATCATCTTTTGTTACTCATCATAACATGGATTCTGTATGATGGAGACAGTGTGGACTTCACTATTTTTTTACAACTGATTTGTTCTAACATGATTAGCTTTAAACAGGTTTCGTATGTGGATGGAGACCAGGAGATATTGAATCTGAAAACACAAAAATGGGAAATTTTGCAAGAATTTTCTGTGAGAGATGAGGTGAGAACATGCTGATTGGTGCAAAATGCTCTCCTTTTGATGTTTTTGTCTGTGCTGATGTGGTTTATTTGACAGGAGCAAGCTACTGAAGCCCAAAGTGCAGAAGCTTCCCCTGAAACGTATGTATTACTTTTTGGTGTTTTGCTTTTTTAATCCAAACTACTATTATCAATTTATTACAAAATCAATATATCGGATCTGGCGTTCAGGAAGTTGAAACTGAACATTCCAGTCTGCTAGTTACTGTAGGCATAATTATTTTTTGGGCCGAGATCATTTGGTATCACCAGAAAACGGGCCACTTGGGTGGCGGATCAAGAGGTGTGGGATGGTTTGGGGGTTTCTTGAATGTGCCAAATGGGTCTTGACTAATGCAATTGACCTCTATGCTAATTAATACTCCCTCCGCCCCAAAATAAGTGTCCAAATTTCTATTTTAGTTTGTCCCAAAATAAGTGCCACTTTAAAAGTAAGTGTACTTTGTCATTCTACCCTTATGAGATGATTAAAATTTCTCTCTATTATTAAGGGTCAAATTGTCCTTTAGTTAATTGAAAAGCGTAATAAGTATACATTTCCCTAAAACTCTGTGTTTTTCATCATGGACATTTATTTTGGGACGGATGGAGTAATGTTTTGGTGAAAATTCTGTATCTTATCTCATTGCACATATGCAGACACGTGTGTGTGTGTGTGTGATATAGGCGAAGGATTTTGTGGAAGTTATGCTGAGAAGCATAAGAAGAGATCTCCACCCTTAGATCGATCCTAATTAAATATCAACACTAATGAGGTGCACCTTGATGCACCGGATCAATTCTCTTATAAAGCGCAATTCATGGGTGGACATGAGATTAAAAGTGATCAAGGGTTCAGATCTCTTCTTATGCTTCTCACCATAACTTTCCTTCTTACACGATCCTTTGCCTATATATATGTAGGGTGGAAGAGAAGGAATGATCTAATCTTAAAAACTTAATGGAGTTAACCGAATGTAGGCTCCATGGTCAATAATCAGATGACATATAGCTTCTTTCTTGTTAACTCATTGTCTTGCAAGATTGGCGTCTTCAGCTTTGATGATATGCATATTGAACTTCTAACTTGTTGCCTCAAGTTTTTGCTTCTTCTCATAACTGGCTGTTCTGCTCCAGACACAAGAAGAAGAAATCAAAAACAGATCCTGCACCGTCTGCTTCACAAGAGAAGAACAAGGATTCAGCCAAGAGGTTTGTTTTCTTTATTTTCATTATTTTCACTTTGCTTATTATCATGTATGAATAACGTAAGCACCCATTTTTTGACACCTGTAAATAAACGATAATAAGCAGAGTTGGTGAGGCCTCTTCATCCGGCAAAACAAAAGGTACGGCTTCAAAAGATCATAAATCCAAGGACATGAGTGCCGCCAAGTCCACATCTCAAAAAACCAGCGGCAAGTCCACTGATGCAGCTGCTTCCAAAGAATCTGGGAAGTCCAAGGAAGACGAAGAGACACCAAAAGCCAGTAGCAAGACCAAGCAAGAGACTTCAAAAACCGTCAACAAATCCAAGGGGAAAACCCCTCAAAGTGGCGGCAAATCCAACACCAATGGTCCCAGCAAGGCAAAATCCGGGCAGTCGAATGTGAAAGAATCTGAGAAAGCTAACGATTCTGTGAAAACCCCAGAAAGCACAAAAGGGAAATTGGCGGAAAGCACAAAGGGGGGTGGGTCAAAGAGCGGAAAGAAACGAAAGAAGAGGAGCTAGAGGTAAAGGGTAAGGTAAGGCATGGCATGCATATGATGATAATGATGTGAAACTGTGTTGTGGTCTTTGGTGGGGCTGGCTGGGCATATAAGCAGCAGTTAACAGTAGTGTTTTTAATTAGGGTTTTAAGAAGGTAGTCAGTCAGTGGGTCAGTAATTTTGATGTTATTGTTTGGTAGAATCAAGTATTATTGGGTATTTGGTAGGATGATTGTTATAATTATTATTATTAGGTTAGTTAAATTGTTATAAAGGAGTTAAGTTAGATGATGTGGTACATTTTCTACTGTTCCTTTTGTTAATGGTATTTGGGTTTCGGATTTGCAGATTTTCTGAAAGCACATAAATTTACTTGTCGTTTAATCGTCATTATGCTCTTTTAACGATCCTACTTGAGTCGATTATATGGTCGTTCCCGGACCATGAGCAGATGTTGCTGTTTCGTTTTGAAGAATGAACGTTTAGATCGGTCCCAACCTGGCCAGTCTAGAACTGAATTGTTGAGTATCGTTTGGTGTGAGATGGGACAGAACAAAAACTTATTGTCCTATGTTTGGTGCGATGTTAGACAAGGTAAGGGTGGGGCATGGTGAGACAAAAAGTTCACCAAAATAGGTGGAATAAGATGAGACAAAGATATGATGGAAAGTAGGGGTGCTAAAAAAGCAACCAACCTCGTCGGTCCAACCCGAAAAACCCAAAGAAACCAAACTTGAAGTGACATGACACATGATTGATAAAAAAAAAAGACCAAACCGCATCTACCGGGTTGGAATTGCGTCAAGTCGTTTGAACCCAATCGAACCGATGCTTTTCAATAATATAGATTAAATATACGTACGTTAACAATATTCAAAAATTATATTATAATTTCAACCGTAATTTTACTTTCTTATTTGCATGAACTTTCAACTTTTTTTTTTCATTGTTGTCATTTTAATTTTACTTTGTTTAAACATAAATGCTTAGCTAGATTGTAAAATGATGTAGCAATATGCCAATATTTCAATCCGTGTTATCAACTTGACCGACCCAACCCGAACGGTTTGGGTTGGGTTGAGTTGATATTTTTGAATCGCAAATATTAGGTTGGGTTGTTCAAATACCTTCAAACCGACCAACCCAACCCATGTGCAACCCTAATAGAAATTAAAAAATTACCAATCCACTCTCATTTGGTATAACGTTAATATGATGTTTGTTTTAATGTTCACCACCACTATTAGCCACCCCTACCTCATTTTACACTACAACCACCTCCTCCATCACCTCTATAATTGTCATCGGCCACTAGCCACCACCACCATCGGCTACCAAAGTGCTTCAAATCATTGCTATTTGACTATCCTGAAAAAGACATTATATGGACTGGATTAAAAGGATCGGTCATCCAAAAATTAGGAGTCATTCTTGTCGCAAATATTCACCGCAACCTCTACCTCAACTACATTAGCTATAACTACCTCCTCCACCACTGTTGACCGCTGCCACCACCACTACCTCCTCCACCACTGTTGACCGCTGCCACCACCACCACCACCATTATCCACCATCTTTATGTCATCCACGATCACTGTTGTCCACCGACCACCATCGCCTCTATCTCCATGACCATTGTTGATGCAACAACTTTATCATTCCTCCAGCAATTCATAAGAATATAAACGAAAAACATAGTTTTTCCTTTGTACAAACCATGTTCTTTTGAACTACCATCAATTATATCAAATTGTTCATTCAAATATGCTATCATTATATATGTATCTATTTATGTATATAAAAATTGCGTAAAAATGTTTATAAATTAAAATTATTTAAATACTTACTTGATTTGTATCATTTAGAACTATTATGACCTTTTTTTTTAATCAACCTGGATATCCACCCGTTATGCGAGCCGACTAATCCCAGGACGACCACTTGCTTTGTAGATAGCCCGGAGTTACCGCATCTGAACCTCCGTGGCCACAAGATGATTTTTATTCCTCCTTGGATTTGAACTTGGGACCTCCAGGTACTTTTGACATTTGGAGCCAAACTCAAACCAATCATGCATCACCCTTATGGTTAATCAAACAATCTTTAGGGGCAACTTGTGTAGTCATGTCTTATCGAGTCGTTGTCGTACCAAATACCAGACAAACAAATTTGTCCTGTCCAATCCTGTCACGTAATGTCCAATCAATCACGATTGCATACCACTACACTACTAATGTAACAACCATCATCATCCATCGAATTCATGCATCTTGTGATATTGGAGGATCGTGACACAATAATCCGCCTTTAATTATATATATATATATATATATACATACTTTTAAGTAATTAATAATACTTAGATGCAATGAACATGTAAATTAATATGATTAAATTAATTAATAAATGGTATTTAATAATTAAATATTGTAATTAAGGTGGATATGATATGATTGTACCTCAGATACAACCCATCACTTATTTAGGGTTGTACTGGTTGCAAAAGTTCTACTCCTTTTGCTCTTTAATTTAACCTCAAGATTCTCTTTTGGTGTTCAGAGCTTAATTTACTAATTAACCAAAACCAGATTTCAGGCCAAGGTTTGTCCACTTTGATTCCATCACTCAAAAACCACCCTTGCTCCTTGTTTTCTGCCCAAAACACACATCACACTTTTTATAAACAGATTTAAAGTCAAAAGGGTATATAGAAGACGAATCTGCATACATCGTTTAGGATGGTTGTAAATTACGGTTCTGTAACAATGCTAGGTTGTTGGGTTTGAGCTGAGTTACTCTTTCAAATCAGACAGTGAACATGAGGAACGATTTATGTTTGGTTTGATTATTGTAAGAATATGTCGAATTTTCATGTGAATGAGTTTTGTATGTTCAAAGGTAAATGTCCCAAAGGATTAGACTACTGATAAAATCTGGTTTGGCAGGAGTTAAAAATGTCCAAGTGTCGTAATAGACTTTATATAGAACTTAAGTTTATAAGATCAAACGATTGTGCTGTCATATGTAAAAGTACTGAGATAAGTTTATAAGGTGCTTTATTGTAATATATGTATGTATATATAGCCATAGGTTCATTTGAGAAGTGGTAAGTATTTGAGAAGTAGAGAAATAATCCTAGCTCTTCATTTGGTCAAAATTTGCTGCTCTGGTTGTGAAACACCGGATAATTTCTCACATGATATGCGAAAGATAGAAGGGTGGTTTCGTGTACAAACAGAAGGCAAAACAAGTGCATATGTGAACCCGTCTGATTCACATATGAATTATATGTCCATATGTGAACCCGTGTAATTCACATATAAACTAATTCACATATGAACTAAGGATTCACATATGCACTTATGGGTTCACATATGCACTTGTGTGGCGTCTATTTATAAAAATTACGAAACTACCCCTCTATTTTTTGCTTGACCAACAAAGCCGTAAATTTTGACCAATCAAAGCTGTAATATTTGACAGTCAAAGTTGCAACCTTTTACCAATCAAAATCACAATTCTTAACCAATCTTGATCGTGTGAAGGGCTATGATTACTCTTTATTTCTTAAATATTTACTACTTTATAAATGAACCTCTCTCTAGGTTGGGCTTCGGTGAGAAGGAAAGTTAAAGGTAAGAAACATAAGAAAAGATCTCCACCATTGGATGCATCACAGTGTGCATCATGTGTTGATATGGTATTTGACAGAGAGAGTTGAGAGGAGAGGGAGGAGAGAGAAGAGAGGAGGGAGGAGAGAGGAGAAATCTAGAATAACTAAAATGCCCTTAATTAATATCTTAAGTTTAAATTACCAAAATTATTAATTTCCTAATTTAAATTTTGATTTGTGGTTGAGATTAAATATCACGGTTACCACAAAATAATCAGCACTTTCTTGAATGGACCTATATATACATACATACATACACACACACACACACACATATATATATATATATATATATATATATATATATATATATATGAGGTTTACTTTGCAAACCACGTCATTTGTTTAAACCGTACAAACCTCATTCAACCAATCATAATTTTTCATTTTATTCATTTTTTTTTGTAATTATGAGAGGTTGATTAATCATTTTTATTGTGGAGGGTGTTAATCATGGATATTATCATCTTCATTATTTTAATTTTAAAGAAATACATGAAACAGTTCCATTAAAGTTTCATAAAGTATTATATGAAACAATTTCATAACCATATATGAAACAACTTCATCAAAAAAAAATTATATGAAACAATTTCACAAGATTAAATAATTTCATGAAAAAATTTCATAAGATTAAACAATGAAATCGATGGATGAGAGTGGTTTGCACGGTTTGTACAAATTGAGTGGTTT